ACAAAGATTATTTGAGTGGCGGTATCAGGTGTTAGGATGCTCTGAGTCACTCCCAACCAGTTCTCCCTTAATCTGACATTTTTGCCTTCCTCCGGTGCGTGGAGGAGCACTGGTCCACCCCAAAAGAATTTTTATTGCCAAGATGCAGTCAGTCCCACTCGATGATCTGGCAGCCTCAGCAGATAAAATACTGGAGATTTCCAGCAGACCCATCTCCAAGGTATATTCTATCTGCGACAAACCACAGCGTCAGGATTCAGAGGTGACGAAGCTTTGCAACTCTGTGAAACAGTTGCTACGATCTCGAAGTCCTAGCTCACGTAGCACTCCACAGAATCGCACCTTGGCGCATCGCAGCAAGTCGCGTGGTAGCCCCAAAACTAAACCCAACAGGGTGGAAAACCCTGAATGGTGCTGGTTTCATAACACTTACGGAGATGAAGCCAGAAAATGTCGTAAACCATGCCGTTTTAAGAAGGACACAAACTCGGGAAACGGTCACGCCGGCACGTGCTCACGGCAACCGTAGCCGGCGGAAAAAGCCGTTTGCTCTACGTCACCGACATTAAAACGAAAGTCCGCTACCTCGTCGACACCGGCGCAGAAGTTAGCGTTCTTCCAGCAACGACAAAGGAGCGTCATCACGACCCATCCTTCAATCTTCAAGCAGCCAACGGCAAGGCAATCGCGACATTCAGGAGACAGTATGCCTACCTCAACTTAGGTTTACGCAAACCTATCCACTGGATCTTCCTCCTCGCTGACGTCTCTATGCCCATCATTGGCATAGATTTGCTAAACCATTACGATCTACTCGTAGATGCTCGCCGTCGACGACTGATAGATAACAACACAAAGTTATCTATTGGCGGCACCACCTATGTAGGTCCGAGTTTAGCCATCGTTAGGACCAAACAATCAGGCGACGCGTCCTACCAGGCAGTTCTGGAGAAATATCCAGAGTTACAGCAACCGAAGCACACTCTTCCGTGCATAACCAGCAATGTTATGCATCACGTCACAACCACAGGTCCACCTGTGGCATCCAAAGCGCGCCGTTTAGCCCCCGATAAGCTCCAAACGGCGAAAAATGAATTCGACCACATGCTCGAACTGGGCATTATCAGACCGTCAAACAGTCCTTGGGCATCGCCATTGCACATGGTTCCCAAAAAGGATAGCAACGACTGGCGTCCGACCGGTGATTACCGAAGGCTTAACGCCAAAACAACTCCGGACTGCTACCCTATACCTCACGTTTACGACTTGACCGCAACCTTATGCGGCATGAACATTTTCTCCAAAATCGACTTGGTCAAAGCGTACAACCAGATACCTATGGCAGCAGAAGATATCGCGAAAACAGCCATTATTACTCCTTTTGGCCTGTTTGAATTCCTGCGCATGCCATTTGGTCTTCGGAATGCAGCACAAACATTCCAACGCTTTATGGACGACGTCTTCCGTGGTCTGAATTTTGTTCATGTCTACATCGATGACTGTCTAATTGCGAGTCCAGATAAGGAAACACACCTTAAACATTTGGACCTCGCATTCGAAAGACTTAAAAAACATGGCATCACAGTTAACTTACAGAAGTGTGAAATAGGAGTTGAATCACTCAGCTTCCTTGGGCATACCATTGACAACAAAGGTATACGCCCATTGAGAGATAAAGTGGCGGCTATCACAAACTATCCAGAGCCGACCACTGTGAAACATCTCCGCACTTTCAATGGCCTGGTAAGTTATTACCGAAGGTTTATCCCTAACTGTGCCTCTGTCATGAGACCACTCACAGATCTACTTCGAGGAACTGCGAAGTTCGTGTCTCTGGACAACGCGGCTAGACTTGCTTTCTCTAAAGTCAAGGAAGCCATTTCGAACGCAACCATGCTTATGCATCATGACCCCAATGCTCCTCTGAGTATTGCTGTTGATGCATCTGATTCAGCAATTGGAGCAGTTTTGCAACAGTTGACTGACAACCAGTGGCAACCGTTAGCCTTTTTCTCGAGGCGGCTGCAAGACGCGGAAACAAGATACAGTACATTTGGTAGGGAACTCCTAGCCATGTACTGTTCTGTACGCCATTTTCGACATTCTGTGGAAGGTCGTGATTTCATTATTTTCACAGACCACAAACCGTTAACGTTTTCCCTCAGCTCGGCGTCTGACAAATACTCCCCTCGTGAGTCGCGACAGCTGGATTACATTTCCCAGTTCACGTCAGACATCCGCCACATTTCTGGAGCAAACAACTCCGCAGCCGACGCACTATCTCGAATAGCTTCGATAAACTATATCGAGGGTATTGATCTCGTTGAACTAGCTCGGCGTCAAAAGGAAGACCTTGAGCTGCATCATGAGTTGTCGTCCACAACTCTCAAACTGCGACTTTGTCCTGTTGGATCAGACAAGGATGCAATTTTGTGCGATGTCTCTGCTAGTCAACCACGCCCAATAGTTCCGAAGAGTTGTCGACGCAACGTCTTCAATACGTTGCACAAACTCTCTCATCCAGGTGTACGAGCCACCATTAGGCTTATCGCACAACGTTTCTGCTGGCCTGGGATGAACAAAGACGTTAAGGAGTGGGCCCAGTCGTGCTTAGCTTGTCAAAAGTGTAAAGTCACGCGACACACGAAAAGCCCTTTAGGCTCATTTCTAGCCCCAGACATGCGTTTCGACCACGTCCATATAGATATTGTAGGACCCCTACCAGAATCTAATGGATGTACCTACCTTTTCACTTGTGTTGATCGTTTCACACGATGGCCGGAAGCAGTACCCATTAAAGATATTACTGCCGAAACAGTTGCTCGTGTTTTCGTCGAAAGATGGATCGCGAACTTCGGATGTCCATCCTACGTCACAACCGACCGTGGGCGCCAATTTGAGTGTGGACTATTTCACGCTCTAACGGCACTTTTAGGTTGCACTCGGTTCCGAACGACAGCCTACCATCCACAAGCAAATGGCATGGTAGAGCGTTTCCATCGACAGCTGAAAGCTTCCCTTTCAGCTACAAACATACCTCAGTGGACCGAGGCTCTGCCTCTAGTCCTACTAGGTATTCGTAACGCGTTGAAAGTTGATGCTGGATGCACTCCTGCAGAACTCGTCTATGGGACCACTCTTCGCCTACCAGGTGAGTTTGTTTCCCCTTCAACTTTCAAACATGTTTCCGACAGGGCATCTTACGTGACTAGGCTTACAAACGCAATGCGTTCAGTTAGGCCTTCTCCGATTAGACCGCAAACGACTGATGTTTTCGTCCACCCCAGTTTACAGAAGACATCACACGTGTTTGTTCGCCACGACGCTGTTCGTCGACCACTTGAACCACCCTACGACGGGCCGTTCAAAGTGATTAAGCGACATGAGAAATTCTATATGATTGAGCGAGACGGACGTGAAGATACTGTCAGTATCGACCGTTTGAAACCAGCTTATTTCGAAGGCAACCCCATTGTAAGTGACGTTTCAGCTCGCTACATCCGACCGACGGATGACTCAATTATCGAAATTCTCGACGATGTGCCTGGTAATGCACAGCTGCAACAACCATCGGCGCAACAAAAAACACGATCAGGTCGAACCGTCAGGTTCCCAGAGTACCTGAAGTCATATTCAACTTAGCTGTGTGTGCCAACCCTTTTTTTTCGAGGCACTATTTTTCTTATTTACCGCGGCACAAACCCTCGTACACTTTGCCTTTTTATATCAATTTTTATTTACCATGTAATAAAAACTAAAAAAACGGCGAAGATAAGCGTAAATTTTTATTTTTCGACACGTTTATATATAAATAATTCCCATTTTTACGCAACGTTTTCGTGGTATTAAAGACTTTTATTTATATTCCAGGTGCAACGAGCACTGGACGGAACGTCGAAAGGAACAGATGACCGCGACCGACGTACAATTTCATTTATTGTATTTTATTATTTAATCGCCACGACACCCTAGAATAAGTTCAGACAACCAGGGGCCACCTCACGCAGTGAGCCCATCGGAAGAGTTTTACCAGTGGAGAAACCACTGGGTTTTTACTTCCGGCTGGTATCGTCTTAGGGTCCTCACGAACCCACTAGGGGGGGAGTGATCTGTAGCGTCATACACTTCCCCAAAATCAATAGCCTAGGGTTTGACGACTTCGACATTGATGCTGACCTTGATAGTTTAACTGGACTCGCTAAGCTGAAGGCACCCGGTCAAGCATCCTCGCCATTTGGCACGCTGTCGTGTTACGTTGCATTGCTCGTATTCGACTCTCTAGCCAGTTAGTTGGAACGCATCGGTATTTTGGCATAACCATCCAAATATACTATTCCATCCGACTACGCTATCGTGTTCTTCCTTGGTCTCGTATTCGTGGGTATATAACAAGTTCGAATAATTAGTGATTGGTCTTTGCGTCTGTCAAGTCCTCACCAGGACAAATCCTCAAATGTAGGTCACAGGCCAGCTAGGGTCAAAAAATAAGAGTTTCTTTTTTGAACAGAACTTGAAAACCGCCACTAGGATGGAGCCAGTGCTATTCATGTTACGTGAAACGCGTGCTTTGTAGGAGGTTCGTGGTTGGATGCACAGATATAACCAGAAGAAGACTGAAACCAGTAGGCTCAAAATTGAATTTAAGTGGCACAGTAAAAAATGTTTTGAAGACTAGAGCCCGCAAATATCAAATAACTCACAAAAAATATACGAGAGCACTTGCGACATATTCACCGCTTGGGGCATAGATAACAGTCTTATCAGATTCATAAGTATTATTTTTCCGACAATTCAATGGTGGAACGTTAGAGAAGATTGCAGACCATTTCTGTAACTTGGAGCAAAGTTTCGAGTCTATAAAGGCTCTCGCAACAACTAATGAAATGGTCACAATGGCGTTTGAGTTTTCAGGAGTCATAATTTCGTCCGAAGTCACGAAGACTGCTGTTTATTTCACTTGGCTCTTGTTTGTCTTATCGGGTCACTAAACATTTTCAAGTGTCATTTTAAAGTTTGCGCTACCTTAAGGGCCAAAAGGGATCATATGATAGCTAGTACAGCAGTTGAGATAAGCAGGATCAACTGAATTTAAAACCTTGTTCTGAATATTTTTTAAGTACGTATCCACACTTCACTATCTGTACGAGCTACAGAGGTCGTAAGCATACAATTTCTTCAGTACTTAGGGTAATAGATCAGCAGCTTGTGATATTCTTTGCAGCAGATACCTTTGTGAATATCCGTTCTCTTTTTTCTTTTCAAAGCTTCACCAGGAGCTGTAATCAGTTACTTCGGTAACAAGTTCTGCAGGAAATATTTTCGTAAGGCCAAATAGGGCACTGTTGGACCACTCACTACAGGAAGCGTCGGGTTAAATGTAGGGTTTTGCAACATATCCACCTTTGGCTTGATGTTTTTGACCCTGCAGTTGGCCCTATATTTCTCATATTTGGTTTTATGTTTTTATAAATGGCCCGACGTCTGACCACACGTACTGATTTTAACCCTACTAGGACATTTGCCTAATGTTTCACCCCATGTGCACTACATCTGACCCCACATCATATTTGCGGCTAAACATTGCCTGATTTGGCCCGATAAAATTGTTAACTGGGTTCCTGTCGTTAATCATTGTGCTAGGGGACTTTTGTCCCATTTGTTTCTGGTCAACCTCGGCTGTTGAACCTCTTTATGGTGATAATCAGTAGTAGAAGAAGTGGAGAAGTAGGAGGGTTCAACACTTAGTTGGTCATTTAATATACCATTTGTCAAAAATCCTCCGAACCTTAAGATCATCCACAAACTGCAAGGATAATGACTAGCGTTTACCGGTGCTCATTATTTCATGGTAAAAACAAAGAGATTATAGTATAATGCCTTAGGGGACCCCACAGGTGACGGGTTCCCATTCAGACAGTACTTTATCTACTCCTACCCTGCCTTCCATAATGCGGGTAATCTGTAAACCAATCTTGCGAGTCGATGTACATACTAAAACCTGAAATCGTCTTCAGCAGACGAAGATGAGACCTTATCAAATGCTTTGCCGAAGTCAATAAATACTACGTCGGGATGGGTTACTGACTATAGCCTCCAACCATTTCTCCCTGGCTAATTCATCAAACTGGAGCTTGTGGGTAGAAAAGCATGTTCTTGTGCTAGTAAGATGTGTTACCACATATTTCAGTAGTTTTTCCCTAATTATTGCCCCCAAAATTTTAGACACTATGCAAGTAAGACTGACAATCTGATAGTTTATAACCAATTACCGATTGCCATCCTCAAAGATGAAGCAAACCATAGCATTTCCCCATTCTATTTCTCTGATAATTTTGTTAGATATTAGACTTTTGGAGTAACTAAGGAAAGAAGTAACTGGTACATTTTAAAATCTGTTATTTAGCTGTGGTTGTGCGAGCGTTTTCCCAAGCAGCTTTCTTATCTATGTTTATAACAATGCTGTAAACAGTCATTCTCGAGATTCATATCAGAGCGTTATAACGCCCAGAGGTGTTTAGTTTCATTCCTTTTATTCAGTCCATGAAAACCATATTCGGCGGGTCTTTTGAGATTGTCAAGTTTCTTATCGACGAAATCCTTTGTCAGATTGAAATATATGTAGCATTGCGTACACCACTAACACACTTCTATGCTTCTTACATTTAACTAGTATCAATTTTGGTTGCATACTTGAATATAAGAAGTTGGAAAGGATAGATTAAGTTGCTAATCACCGAATCAGAAAAATATTTTCCGTCACTGGAATTTCAAAATTATGAGTCCGGACTTGGGATTAATTCCCATCTCTGCTGGTCGTAACAAAGTATAATCTGCGCACCACATCAACAATCACTAAAGTCATCTTTAGAACGCCTGGCCTTGATTGGCTGTTGTTGCAATGATTTTTAAAAATACTATATGTGAAGTATTAATTTAAATGAATAACACTCTGATCTTTGTAAAAAGCTACTACCCGCTTTCCCATCTGAAATAACGAAGTATCTCTTGTAAAAATATTTGTTCTCTCGCTACAAATAAGTTGTAACTCTGTTGACCATAAAATGGGATTCTGCAAGTCTGTGAATAGATAAATACACGGGAAAATAATCATTTACTCAGTTGTGTAACTAATCGTGGACGGTTATTATTGTAAAATTGAAACAACTGAACAAACATGTAGAGTAAAATATGTATGCACTGTACTTACAATCCTTTTTTAATAGCAGCGCGTCGTACCAATATTATTCTTAGCAGTATTCAACTTTGAGGCATGTACTATACATAATGGAAAACCACATTAAAAAATATATTTGCCCAATTTTTATTCTTAGCAGGAAGTTGCGGAGTTTACATCCCTACTGTCCTGATTACCTGTAAGTAAGAATATCGGAACTCAAAAAGCATTCCTCATCTACTTCAACTGCAGTAAAAGCTGATCCACAGCATCAGTCTTACCTGTTTTCTGTGAGTTATGTTCAGAAATACCTTCAGATCTTCCATGGATTAACGTTCTAATTATCTTTGATAAAACCTCATTCATGAAAAAATCGGGTTACAAATAACTTGCAAATATGTTTGTTTGGGATTTAGTTCTTAGACAATAATCAGTGATTAGTTCTTTGTGCTGATCAAAGCTCACATTCTGACAGAAATATGAAACCGACCTATAAAGATTTCCGATTGACATCAGATAAGTCAGATCCGTACGCCTTCAGTTAAGTCTTAACGCCAGTAAAGTAAGTGGGACGGTTCACACAAAATAGTATTGGGTTAACAGACATACGATACGAAACCTTTCCGTCACTAAATACCTAAGTGGTGTACGGTCCCGAGATCTATTTTAGTATAGTAGGTTGGTCAGGAAGACACCCAAGTAAATACTCTACTGCCTATTGTCCGGCTATAACTTATGGATACTGATGCGATCTTTCAATAACTACTTTGTGAGGCTTCAGCATGATTTTGACGTCGTTCTCAAGCTATATGCAGCCTGGACATGATAGGTTACTGCTTTTATTGACATCACTTAGAAACAGTACAGAACCGATTAGTAATAAAGATGTGCCAAGGTGAACTGAAAGATCAAAAGATGATTTATCACTACTTAAAGAATGGTAACATTGTTGAGGTTCAAAATTAACATATGTATATTACCATTACTGTTAATGGGTTAAACTCAGGTCAAATGGTTTCTGCAACGCCACGGTGGATCAGGAAACTGGTTAGTATCATGAACTCATATGGTAGTTTGGCTTGTGATTCACTACATAAAGCCTATGGTTTATAGCTTAGTTTTATTTACAACTTCGTCAGCTATTACTCTACCTGGCCAGCTTAAGGTCTCTTTCCATTTTCTACATAGGGAAACATTTTGAGCTGGCATAAGTGAAACGTTCTTCAGATACTTCAATCCATATACAAATAAAAGAATTTCATTGATTAAACTGTCTTAGCCTAAAAATCAACATATAGCCTCAATATCGCTTAAATAGTAGTTTTGACATAAGTGAACACTGTTTCATCGAAATCACTGTTTAGCAGTTGTTTTTGAATCTCCGATTGACAGCAAAGTGATATTCAACATGTCATTATTTTATATTTAAATATTGATGAGCGTACACAGAGTCAAGTAAGTTGGTATCTGCGCTTGGATTTTGTTGACCACTGGAGCTCATGTAATTCCTCACATAAATCACTGTCAGTACGGTTGACTCCTTTACCCCTTACAGTAGAATTGTACATTGATGCAGGTTCGCACCCATACTTTTTTGTCTCTGATAGTTCGTTTCACAAATTAGTGAATTATTACTTTTACTAACGTATTTTCTTTCCGAACACTTTATTAGCTTTATCCACTAATTTTGAACGAAATAAACCCTGAACACAACCTAGTTTGTTGTTAGCAAGAAGAGTTGCTTCTTATTTCCACTCAATTGAATTCCCAATGAGACTTGGTAAACTTCAGCCTCCGTTTTACATAGCTATAACCTCTTTCCCGCAGTAAATTTATTTAATAGATCTTTTGAACTAGTAAAAAGACGACTGTCAAGTCAAATTCAAATATGCATCGTTGGCAGTGGTCCATCTGCATTTTATACTGCTCAAACTTTACTGAAAGTAATTGTTTTTATGCCTAAATTGACTCATCAACAAATTCAGAATCATGCTGGTGTACATATTGATATGTTTGAGAAACTTCCTGCTCCTTTTGGTTTAGTTCGCTATGGAGTGGCTCCAGATCATCCGGAAGTGAAAGTAGTTTTATTTCTTACTTATTAATGAACTCAAGAATGTTATAAATACTTTCACAGAAGTTGCCAAAAATCCACGGTTTTCTTTCCTTGGGAATGTTTGTATTGGCAGAGATGTTAAGCTGAGAGAATTACAAGAAGCTTATACGGCTATTGTTTGGGTTTGATTCTTTTTAAAGACTTCAGTGTTTTCTCGCAAGGCCTATGGTGCTACTGTTGATCGACGTTTGAATATTCCAGGAGAGGTATGTTGTTGTAAAATACCTAACGGTTAAAGGATTTTCCAGGTGTATTGTCAGCTAAAGACTTAGTGGGATGGTATAATGGCGCACCTAACAACACCAATGTAAGTAGTGTTTTAAACGCTATATGTTTAGCAAGTTTTCTCCCGATCTTAGTTGTGAAACAGTAGCCATCGTAGGAATGGGTAATGTGGCAGTTGATGTCGCTCGCATTCTCCTCTCTCCAATTGACCGACTAAAAGTAGGGAATTATACCAGATTCCTAACAAATGTTTAGTCTACAGATATACCAGAACCTGTAATAGACTGCTTATCAACAAGTAAAGTACGAAATGTAGTTCTGATTGGTCGAAGGGGTCCTTTACAAGTGGCTTTCACTCTCAAAGAAATTCGTGAACTTTCGAAGCTTTATACAACCGCATTTCAATCTAACTACATCATTAACTTGCTACCGAAGGATGTTTTTTCGGTGACAATGGGAACAGAAGAAAAAATTCAAGATATCCTTCTAGGTAACTTGTCAATGAAATATTTTTGCATGAACAGTAGAATCGAAAATGTTTATTCTTCATTCGTTAGGTTTTAATCCCACCAATAGAGAGACGACTTTCTGGTTCATGCATACTATTCTCAGTTATCGGTCTACAGGTTTGAATCCTGCTTCATCTACAGTAATTTGGACAGTTAAGTAACATCATTATTCCGCTGACAATAGGTTTAACTAACAGTATAGTGCACAAACTTGAACGAAGCTGCTGAGTTGTGTTGCAATTCACTCTTTCGCCGTCATTTATTAAAGATAAGAATACCTAGTTTTATATAGATGAATAAAATAAATACTTATATATATATATATATATATATATATATATATATATATATATATATATATATATATAAACTGGTTTGTTTCATATCCTTTATATAGAGTCACTTTCCCCAACCCTGTCGGGTAAATACAAAGTTTCAGAGAACAAAAATGGGGAAATATGATTTTATATCGTCATGTGTTGGTCTACAGTTTCAAATGCGTGTTTATAACTGGTATATAACTTCCAATCCAAGTGAATAACCAGGCTGAAAAGATGTCACCTGGGGACGACTGGCTGTAAATTGCTATACGATTTACATAACCGCTGTTATTTTTAACAACAAATACTCATAGATATGACTTAAGTTAACTAGCAAAATAAATCTAACAGAAGTACTTCTTGACTCTAATAACATTTGGATAAACCAAACATGCCTTAGTTACGACAGAAATAATGAGTTACTTAACAAACATATCCCTTAGCATTAACACGACTGTTTTCAAGATGATCCTAAAAAAGGTTGTTTTTTCCTGTCTTTTGCTATTTAGAGTTGTAACAGCTTGGAAACCCGTATAACTGTTAAAAGAAATGTGTTTACAGCTAGTAAAAGCTTGATTGAAAGATGTATTTTGTGTTCGTAGGACACCATCGATGTCTTAACATGATTACTTACTTGGCTCAACGTGCCTAGTATGATAGTTTCGTTCGGTTAACTTTTAGCTACCTGCGGATTTGATGTTTCTAGTGATTTTGAATTTCAGAAAATGCGTTTCTCTTGTAGATTGATTTGATAGTTTTCTGTGCTCTACCTCATCGGATGGTATAAGAAAACGCCATTGGTACACCTAATAAATACTGACAAACCAGAAGAAAAGCTAGATTTTTCCGGAACTTATTTGGTTTTCTACAAAAACCAAACGTGCAAATGTAGTTACCGGAAATGACTTCATTATGCCAGTAAAGAGTTCATGTCTGAGAGGTACTTAACTGGCACCTTCTGAATTACAAATGAGTGAAATGACACTGATGATGACCTGTTGCAACTACGCACTAGATAAATACTGGCTTCAAAAATGAGGAGACATTTTCTGACTTACCAGTAAGTGGTTACGTAAAGGTTGACACATAAGCTATGTAGTTATCACTTGTGCCTTGAAATTCGTGAAGAACCGCTACTAGTATGAAGTATTTTTTCGGGCATTGCTTGGGGATATGCTTATCTGCGACCTTTGTATAGAATTCACAGCTAAGAGATGCATAAGCTCAACTTACGGATGAACTTGTTAGGAGTATACTCATGGAGGATCTGGCTAGTCATTGAGTGAAACTTTGAAGGTGGTGTTTATTCTTGCGTATTCTAATGTAATCCTCAGTTTCCTTCAACACAGTAGCAAAGTCAAGCTGACGCTTGAAAAGTGATCGAAAAATTTGAGTGACTGATGAATACTCAAAAACTTACTCTAGTTTTAAATACAACAGCGAACGAAGATAACCTAAAACTCAACTAGCAAGACCTACCTAATGTCTGTTAGCAAAGATGGACGGTGATAGCAAGGGTGGTGAAGATGAAGAATAGTTGATAGTAAATATATTTTCAAATGTATCAAGGAGGTATCTAAAAAACTGTGTATTTAGCGCGAAAAGATTTGTCACTCTTCTCATTCCAGAACAGCAGAGAGAAAGGGTAGATAAAATATATGATGAGACTGCTCATATGGCCTCTGGTTCGCTTTCATCGGCCTACCACTGGACAACAGTCTAAATAGGATGTCGGTGGCCATTCTTTGATGCTTACGAAATTCGAAAGGGCTGTAACTAGCCCAGGATTATGGTGATTAGTCTATCGTAACAGCATAACTATACGAGTGTTTAAAGATCGTAACCCAAGACTAACAGTTCGACCAACTGAAGCATTATGTAAGGTGGGATAATCAAACATGGCTCTGTTTAACTAGTCGCTGTATTGGTGATCCGGTTATATTAGAAAGCAAACAGCTCCTCGTATAATAATCATGGATGGGTTGTTTTTTGTGACAGTTTCTAAGACGCTAGAGTCTGTAATCACCTGAAATGTAACCAGAATATAAAAGCGAGCAACCTAAACAAACTCAGGGAGTTTCCAGAAATTCACAGGTATAGTGGTCAAGTTGTATCCTCAGTTCAAACCCCAGTGGTAGTTGCTACCGTGATGTTGTGGTCGAACCTACATAAGTAATGACGTAACAAGTTATACTGGTGCATTTACCTTCATAGTTTAAACTGGTACGCTTTGGTGAGGGTCCGAGGGTGAGATCATGCTGCAGGCCTGTTGGGGTGTGACAGAAGTAAGGTGTTTCCTGTAGATGACCAGCGGTACTCTGCTAATGTTGCCTTCCTTATAAAAAGAGGAGTTGGGAAGGGTCATATCCAAAAGTACCATACTCCTCCCTATCGTTATCTGTCCAGGTACCAGCGGTATTGTTTTTCTAACTGGATGCAAATCAATCAATACTAGGTCTGAAACTTCCATGTGTCACAGGCCTGGTGCAGGCAGTCGGTAAGTTTCAACTTCCCTTGCAACTTTGTTAGCACTGAAGTTCTGTCACATATCATTATCGACCCTATTGGCATTTGAATTCTAATCTGTCAATATTTCTACTCCATTAATATAGGTATAAAACTTGGGCACTGTGGTAGAGTTTAATTCCGTATGAGATTTTTTTAATTTGATTTATAACACAGTAATATAGTATTATTTACTTGATGACGTTTCGAGCCTGTTGGAATGAGTCTTCTCCCATCAATCAATTCGAATGACGCTTCAGAAATCCTCTGGCTTCTGCTAGCCTCCAGGTGTAGGTTTCCAACTGTCCTTACCACTGTTTCTATTGGAGACTTCATATGACGCCAGGTGAACATTGCTGTCACATTCAGATAAATGGTTAGCTGTCTACTCTCTAAATCCTCATGTACTAATCAAGTACAGATGAACCTCACTACCTCCTGTTTCCTGCGGACAGTAAGGCGCAGACATACACGATCCCGCGCTAGCCCGTGATCGGACTTTAAACTGGCACTCCAGAGAGAATGGCAATCCTCCAACGATCGCTTACAGCAATGTGATCTATCCGTGTCCACCGTTGGTTTGATGTCGGTGGACACCACGTGAGACAGTATCTCTCATGCTTAAAGTTAATGCTGGCCAGAAAGAAACTATTCGGACAAAATTACAACATATGATCACCGTTGTTGGTTCGTTGACATGGGATTCCCTGGATACTTCCCGGATACCTTTCATATTGACTCAGCCTCCCTACTTGAGCGTTAAAGTCACCTGCCATTATGACTACATATGAACGATTTCCTTTCTGTAGCAAAGTTGGCAGCTTTTCATAGAATTTATCCTTTGCATCATGCGAACTGCAGTCGGCGGGTACGTAGGTCGAGATTACGAATAGGCATCATCTAGTTTCACGTTCCTTCCTTGTCCTTACAGGTCCATTCAGTCGAATAACACATAAACAGCTGTTGACTGAAGTCCATTAGAGGAGCTCACTTTCTGCTTTACGACTCAATGCTACGCCTACACCGGCAATTCCATTGAAGTGAAGTGTAAAGACTTACTGCTATGACCAGGTGAGGTCAAATGAATAACCACACTAAGGTTTTGTGTACCTATCTCAGAGACATAGTATACATCCATGCCTACAGACTCTAGAGTTCTGGCAAGCGATGCTTGCTATCCGATTTGGGATAGAGTTCGGATGTTGGAAGCTCCTACATAAAATCGATGGATTGAGGTTTCAATGGCTTTTAACTTTCGTAGTGGTTGCAGAATGGGAGGTTGGGTAAGTCGTAATCGGCCTAATATTTGTATCAGGAGGTGAAGGCAAAGGAAAAAACAGTTGAGAGGGATAGGTTATATGTGATTGGGTCTTGTGTACTAATAGAAACCTGCGGGCAGCTGACACTTCCAGGCTACCCAAGTCGTAAAAAGCTATTTCTTCTCAAGGTAGCTGGAGGAGAGAAGGATTTTGGTGACCATAGAGCCTATGGGACATCTTCTGAAGGCCGGTCACACTCGGCCTTTTGGGAATTTTGTTTTTGAATCGGACTATGAATCTTTGTTGCAACCATCGGGACGCCATGAGGAGGTCGGATGTGTTACTTTTGGGGCTGATCTTTTCTAATTTCCCTTCCCGTTGGGAAGAGCTTCAGTATCGCACTGCTGGTCATCCAAGAGAAATGCCCTACTGCTGTCATTCTCCATCCAGCTAGCAGCAGTACAACTTCGCCTTCAGATCCCCTCCCTTCATCATATTGTGGTAATTTACACTGCAAGGGTAACTGCTTTTTGTCTTACCTCAATCCAATAGACGTTTCTGATATAACAGGACCTCGGGGGGCTGTGTTTTGTATTATCACTACGTCAGTAAGGTAGAAGTCAGACATAAAATTGTAGGCAGAAGACGAGAGTTACTTCATAAGGTTGCAAACCTTCATCGACTGAGATATCTGGGACATGTGCTACTTCAGTTTAGTCACCGTCTGCCCGGTTGCGCAATTTTAGCTGAAGTAGGTTTAGTCTGCGAAAAGGTAAGAGGTGGCCTGACTAAAACATCACTAATGCATGAGGTGTTTGACTGTTGGTCTAAACCGTGTAGAAAAATCTAGACTTCTCACTTAGGTTTCGTGTATAGTAGAAACCGGCGATTAGCGACTGTAGTTAATATGTTTCGGAATCGATTTTAATCGCTATCTATTCACGCATCATACCGGATTTGAATATTTTCTTACTCTTTATTCTGTTCTGTCGACGTTTTACCATTTTGATTACTTCCCTTATTTCTTACTCTTTAATCTTGTTACATTCTAGTTTGATGTGCATATTTGAGTTTTGGCACTTTGGACCACAGTAACGTCTGGTCCCGTGTTGATTTTGAATTGCCAGCTCAAAACTTAGAACATAAGCATGCTTATTGATTTTAGCTAATATACTTTATGTGAGGGCTATATTCCGCTGCATTAATCGAGAATTGTTGTGGCACTGCGATTCACTGAAAGAAGTGTTATTACATTACTTAAAGTTTTGTCAAAGCTCATACGCTTTTTAAAAGTTATGTTAGGTTGTTATTTTTAGTAGCTACATCAAATGGCATCCATTCTTTCTGTGTAACTACTATAAAAGTACTTTTAGAGGGAACATCTTCCTTCCTCTTATAGATTTGTCTGTTGACTAAGTGGTTTTCAGTCAACTTAGAGTAAGCAAATGATAGGTTACAGCGTTCCTCTTACCAGATCATGGAAAATTGTAATGATACACAATTGTTTGTCAACTCTTATACTTTTAGTTTCTATGTAGAAACAGTGTTGTCACTTAAGTTGATTAAGCCTACTTTACTTAGCAGTATCTGTAAAACAAAGGTGTGCTTCCAACTCCTTGGGATCAATCATTTGGTTAATTGTTTAGTTATAATTATTGTGAAAACTTCAAATGACTCGTGATCTAAATGTAAGGTCAGCAAATTCGTAAGCAAAAAAGAACATTTCCTGAAGTATATCACTCAATAAATAGGAGGTGAATCATATTGTTTACTTTTGTAGCTTAAACTATGTCATAAGTAGTTACTTTATAGTTTTCAAATAATTCCTCTACTTTTTATCGATTTGATATAATTTTGAACAAATATACCCTAAAAGTATTTATCATCTGACAAGGTTATTCATTCTAGTAAAATCCACAGAACCACGTAATCACAATTTTCAAGTAGACTACTATTTTCACTTTCTGTATCCATGGGACCTGGTAAATATTTCTGATTTTTAATATGTAAATAAAAGTCACCAAAGGGAAGTGACTAAGGGACCTGGTAAATCATATCTTCGGTACTTCTGTTGGAGAAATTTTACTGCTGGTTACAGATTTATTTTTTCCAATGTTAGCTAACGAATCACGAAATATGAGGATCCCAGGAGCAGTGAGAAGTGTTTGTCACTAAAGAGTTTTAAAGTGCATTGAATCGTCTGTCAAATATCCTTTGGCTTTTGTGTTCTCCAAATAATATCAGTGTGTTTTTAACGAAAATAATCTCTACATTACTTTTAATTACTATATACCATCTTTTTAAATTATCTTACAGGACTTCCACGCCCTCGACGTCGTCTAACAGAATTTTTGTTAAAATTGCATAATTCTCCAGATTATGAAATAGGTCAGTCACAACATGCAACGTACCATTGTCATCTACAATTTTTACGATCTCCTACAGAGATTGTTTCTAATGAAGATAAGAATCCTGGTAAAAATCGCTCTGTGGTTTCTCATATTAAGTTGGCGAAAGTCAAATTAGAGGTATGTCTAAAATTTTTATTCGAATTATCATGACATTTTATTTTAGGATTTTATTTCATGGTTTAATGATAAAGAACAGCTTCACTATAACAGACAATGAACATTTCATTCTTCATGTAGTTAGTGTGATACTCACGTTCGTTTATGAAAACCATTGATTCGATTACTGATCAAACGAATAGCAGGTTGTGCTGACCAACAGTCGGAGGCACCATCGATTGACACTACTTCTTGATCTGTTTGCCATAACCGTTTCTCCAATTTAATCTTGTTAGAGATGACATTGGGCACCGGGGGTGTGGACTAAGAATCACTCCGGAGGCAAAGCACATGTATCAGCAACCTAAATCGTCGAGGAAACGACTTCATTCATTCGATTATCTCTTTAACTTAGGACTCTACATCTGATATCTAAGATCCTCACGTGATGTTTTCACAACACGCAGGCAATACCATAAAGATGACGTTAATCACATAATTAAGCCCTTTTCCAATCCCCTAACTTTATTGACCATATATCACAAACATCCAGAATAGCAGAACACTTAAACAAGATTTAAATCCAAACCCGTTAGCGTTTGGAAGCACAATGCTTATAATGCAAATGAATCCGAGTGAGACTGAGTACTACTCATTAATTCATTAAGTCATCAGTGATTGAGAGTAGTTGATTGACTTATAGATTTGTGTTGGATTGATGGAGTAATTAGATAAGTGAGTTAGTAACTATGATCTACATCAGAGGTGGTAGCTGAATTGCGAACAATCATTTTTAAATCTTCTATTTATAAAGTAAATCTATAAAGTAAAATGGTGTATTCCGAAAACCTCCAAAAGTTTTATGCTGACCACGTCTGTGTTTATGATAAATTGTTCTCTCTTCTGGGTGTACGTGATCAGGTAATCCGATATAAGACAAGGTATGTAGAGAAATCAATAAAGGTTCCGTCTACGGAACTTTATTATCTTGAAAATCTCAGATTTGTTGTTTGTTTCATAGGTACATGACTATCCTTGATGAAAATATTCCAAATCGATGAGGGGATTAGAATTTAAACACCTTATCCAGTATTTCTATTTTAAACTTGCATATTTGCATCTTTTTGGTCAAAAACATGCACACCTAACGCACAATTGCTAAACAGAAATCTTGAAACGAAATGTATAAATCAGAGGTCATGCAAGTGTTTTTCACGCTATCAGAAGTGCAAAGCAATGAAAATGAGTCCCTTGAATAAGTGAAGTAAAGATGAAAAATGTGTGAGACACACTGGAAGTAACATAGGTGTGACAAGCATCAAACAAAGCAGATTATCAAAATAAATTAGGCATCAGAATCATAAAAACGCAGAAATGAATAATAAGCACTACATATTATGCATCAGAAAAGTCGAAAAGAATATATTACGCTTGAAATTTAATCAGTCGGTCAGTGTCAACACGGGACATGGCATTACTGTGCAACGGTTCAGGTTGCCACACCCGATATCAACACACCGTGATAGAAGGTACCAACACGAAAGAAAAAGAAAATAATCGAAAGTAGTAGAAGGTTGTGAAACAAGGAAGGGAGAAAGAGAGAGAGAGTAAAAGGATAAAAGAATAACTGAATTTAGTATGAAGATGAAGATGAGATTGGTTCTGAGCGATATGACTCTGAGTCTCCAACCTCCACTTTCGGTTATTACACAGACTTCGACCTGGAAGTCTACATTTTGGCATGCAAATTGACCCAATAACTAGGGGCTTGGTGCACCGATGTCATGCTTCAGATGGGGCTAAGTAGGTGACAGCACTAGTTTTAGAATTGTAGAAGTATTCTTTTCGAATGTTTCTCCATTGTCACTCCGGTGGCTATTCACATGGTTAACATCTGATGGTTTATGTGCATGTTTACTCTACACATATTTTACATCTTCATAATATATAGAGTGAAATCTGACATCTGTCAAAGTATTTTCTTGTTTGTTGTGTTTTTAGTGAATTTTTTCTAACCATTTGTTACATACACCTTTTTTAAATTTCTTTTCAGGGTTCTGTTAGTCCTCATCAAAAAGCTATAGTAGATCATAGTCAAGCCTTGGAATTATTGCCTTGTGGTTTGGTTGTTCGTAGTGTTGGTCATAGTGGTGTTCGCATTGATCCAGAATTACCATTTGATGAACAATACGGGGTTATCCAATGCAAAGATAACAGTGGACGTGTGGTTGATCTTCCTCAAATTTCCTACAGTTTCACTGTAAGCCCAATGTATTGTGCTGGGTGGATTAAGCGTGGTCCTGTAGGAGTGATTGTCGATACAGCTGTAGATGCTCGTCAAACAGCCGAAGCTCTCCTAAGTGACTTGAATGAATTTGAAAAGCGTGGACATTTAGACATACTTCGGAAGGGTGGATTTCATGTCATTCAACGCTATCTTAGTGAAAGAAGTATGTTTTTTATATATACCCCTTCACATAAATTTATAGCTGAGCGTCACACCTTTTACTGATAATATCCTGCAATATAATCAATCGAAGCATGTTGTTTTTCAAAGGTAAACCCTACTATATTTTAACGATCTTTCTAGTGATTAAACACAAGAGTTATACTGGTCATTGACCTCCTCTACAGTCAGTCACTACAAAGTGTGGAGCTTGGTGCAGAAGCTTGTCAATTAGGAACAGACAAGTCGACAAAAAATTTGAAACAGAAGTAAATCACTATCCGTTGGCCTACTCTATAGCAGCATGCACAGAATGAGTGGATAGAAAATGTCATTTCAAGGTGGATGAAATGGTGTGGGAGTTGATAGGATAAGCTGTGAAGATGATAGAGTGTGTACAATTGCGCTATCGTGACCAAGTATGAGCCACACCACCGAGAATCTCAATCCATTGATTCCGATCGTCTCGAGAATCCTAATCAGGAAGCCTACACCTCCACACATGACTTGGGCCAACAATCAAAGACTTTATGGATTAGTGTAGTGCGTTGTTCCGGTCATCCTTAACTTTCCAACTACCTAATCTTACCTCAACAAACCACACAATTCGATGTAAAAAGGTGATTTAGCATGTGAGAAACTTGTTCTAACTGTCTCAATCGGTGAAGATTCATTACTTCATTGACCGACCTAACTTTCTTATCTATTATCTTACGCCTAACTGCTAGGTTGTTAATGTGGTGATTCCACCTTACACAAGAAGTACTAAGGAGATATATGTTACCAAAAGTGTGCAACATTTTCATATCTTTTAACTTCATAGACATTTAATAGGTTGGAGTGAACTGTTGCACAGTATACTCATCCTTTGTTAGTTTGTCAGATATCTGGACAGCGTCAGAGGTGAAGTTAGTTGGTGAACGTCAAACTAGCGGTTTGAACGCGCCTGGAGATTTCGTTGAGAAACAGCCCGTTTGGAATTAATTGATTTCTCAGGCAAGTTAGGTGGTAAGCTAAATCATGTACTTTACTACTTACTGTTGAACAACTAGCTGTCAGTGCAGATCCGTCAGGAAAAGTAATCTTGTATTTGACAGGTGTAAAATCCATGCCACACGCACTAATATCTTTATTGAGGGTACTTAGAAGACTCTGAATTTTTGGTCGGCGTCTCCGCCCATTATTTGTATCCTGCACCCTACTCCAAGCAAGTGATTTGATCTCTACGAAGTAATTAAATCCTCGAGAAAACGTAAAGTTGACATGTATCAATACGTGTACATCAAAGAAATATGGCAATAGTGAGAGTGAACACCTTCCAACAACATCACTAGTCCTCGTTACTTCAGAGGACAATTCTTCTTAAACCCATATACGGCTTCGTAAGATCAAATCGAAAGCTTTGATTAGCATTTTATACTTGCTTGATACTCCATTCACAGCCAGATACTTTCATTTCATGATTGACAATGTCGAATGCTGCCTTCCGGTGAAGTGAGATAACAAATGTCCGCTACAGGTAAGTATGCCTATGTTACATCACCTATCGGAGGGTGGAAAAATGATCGATGCAGCGTAATCCAGGTCTGAAGCCTCCTCAGTTCCCTCGACTCCACCGTTTTCGAATTCCAATTAGTCATCGAAAAACTATGGACTCCAGCATCTCAAACACGATATTAGTCAAACTAATCCCCCTACAGCCATCACAAGAAGACTTCTCTCCCTTCCCCTAGACTGGAACAATCCGTGAAGTAGACCAGTCTGACGGTACTGCCTCTGATTATCATATACTACACAGTATCTCCATCACTCTAATCACAAATTTCCTACCTCCATCCTTGAAGACTTCAGCTAGCAAACTGTAAGGTCAGGTCATATCTGCTGCTGCTGTTTTGTATCGTTTCAGCTTCAAAACAGCTTTCTAGAATTCAAGGAGAGTTGGAAGACTGACATCTATGTCCCATTCAAGTTCGGGCTAGATGTTGGGCGAGTGAAGCGTTGCTGTGGGCCAATTGAACTGTGCTTTAAACTGTTCTGCACAACGTTCTACCCACCTATCCTCAGAGGCTATCAGAGTCCTATCCACTTCTGTGATAGATTCACCCACCATTGTCTTCTTCTTGCCGGTGTCCTCCATAAGCCTAAATAATTGCCAGGTATCACCTAATGTTGGTGCTTTGTCTCTTCATTGTGATCAGAGCCTGCTGGTGCTAACTAGTCTTTCACAACAATCACTTCGCATGACGTTGCAGAAATTCCCTGGCTTTTGTTAAGCTTCGTGTGTAGGTTACCAACTGTCTCTACGAATGTTTCTACAGCAGACTGTATATGATGCCAGGTGTCCTCAAAATGAGCATTGCAATCACGTTCAAATAATTGCTTATTTGTCTTTTCAATAAATGCGCACTGCGCGTTCTCATCTTAAACTCAAGTGGAAACTGACTTCATTGCAGCCTACTTCTTGCTACTAGTAACGGGAAGACATACGAACCCGAGACCAGAGTGCAGGCAGGTTCTCCAGAAAGAGAGTCATTCCTCCAACGGTGACTTTGAGCATCAATATGATGTGTCCATGTCCATGATTCGTTTGACGTCAGTGGACACCACGTGAAACAGTGTCTCTTCTGTTGCTAGAAATTAGTGCTGGCCGGAAAGAAGTGATTGTCAAAACAAGATTACAAGAGACGACCACTGTTGTCGGTTATTTGCCATGGAATTCCAAAGATACATCCAACATACCATTCCAGTTGGTTCAGCTTCCCTACTTGAGTGTTTAGTTCGTCTGCTATTATGACTATATCTAAAGGTTATGGTGTTTTTTTAAAGCAAAATTGATAGCTTCTGATGGATTTCATCTTTCGCATAATAGAACTGCAGCTGATGGGTAGCACGTAAGTGGAGATGACGAGTAGGCATCAGCTAGTCTCACGATCCCATCCCTAGTATATTAAGACTCCCATAGTCGGTTTCATATTGGAGCTTTCAGCCTCCGAAGCCTTTCCAAATCAGACAACAGGCGTCTCTCATCAGAACTCTCGAATCTCCAGCCATAGATATATGCTGTATTTCTGAGACACATATACAGGAGGTGATTGTGGATATTGAATTGACCTCACCTGGCCATTGTAGTGAATCTTCAAAATCCACTCTACGGATATCCGGAGACCCAATGACTAGCTCTCGTGGACTCACAGGTGTAGGCATAGTGCTGAGTTGTAGAGCGGAGAGCGGAGAGTGCACTTCTCTACTGGATAACAGTTGATAGCTGTCTGTGTACTGTTCGACTGAATGTATCTGTTAGAACTAGGAGGGGTCGTGAGACTAGCTGATGCCTACTCGTCATCTCCACTTACGTGCTACCCATCAGCTGCAGTTCTATTATGCGAAAGATGAAATCCATCAGAAGCTATCAATTTTGCTTTAAAAAAAACACCATAACCTTTAGATATAGTCATAATAGCAGACGAACTAAACACTCAAGTAGGGAAGCTGAACCAACTGGAATGGTATGTTGGATGTATCTTTGGAATTCCATGGCAAATAACCGACAACAGTGGTCGTCTCTTGTAATCTTGTTTTGACAATCACTTCTTTCCGGCCAGCACTAATTTCTAGCAACAGAAGAGACACTGTTTCACGTGGTGTCCACTGACGTCAAACGAATCATGGACATGGACACATCATATTGATGCTCAAAGTCACCGTTGGAGGAATGACTCTTTTTCTGGAGTACCTGCCTGCACTCTGGTCTCTCCAATAACACTATCTAAATTCACAAAAAGGACTAACTGGTTCGAAAGTACATGTGTTTGTCCAATGAATACTGATTCGGTTTCTATATTCTTTAATCCCTTCATGCCAGTTATACTCTTAACTACCGAATATATGTAACTCTTCCCTTTTAAACGTTACTTGTTCGATGAAAAAGTCACAGATCGTTTCGTAATTACCGTTTACGCCTGAAAAGGTAGCCTGTTTATTAGCTTTTGTAAGGCCTACACAATCGTCTTCATTGTCCCACGGTGGAGGCGACTAAATCCTTACAGAAATGGATGTATTGTCTTATTTGAGAAATCTGATACTTCCATTGTCTCAAATGGTTTGTAAAATGCTTCAAATTCTGTTTACGCATATATTTCTTTTCTATCTAATAGATGTGCGTACTGTAACATTTAGAGATTGGGAACGTGTAGATGCACTGGAGAAATCAGCAGGTCAAGTGCTTGGAAAACCCAGAGAAAAGTTAACCACAATTCAGTCCATGTTAAAGGCAGCTTTTGATGAAGTTACACACCATGAATCGAGCCAGTGATTTTTATTTGTATTGACGCACGTTATCTTTTATTAGAAGGAAAATATCTTTTTTATTTAAACGGTTGTTTCTTCCTTTATTCATTTGTCACATGCCTATTTTTTCTGTGCATCATCTCAGGTATAAATTGACTTCGTATTGCTCAGTTCATCAGCAATAAAAGAATTTTCTTCACCTTTCCTACTTTTGATTTTCTTAAAAGCTAATCTTCATAGCTTCATTGAAACACTTGAGTAATTAATCACTAAGAAATTAGTGAATGGCATTCGAAAATATATATGTTCTGTAATACAAATGTTCTATGAGTCTGAACCGGTTAGAATAAAAGTGTTAGTGATATTTCTACGCGAACATAAATACTATTTAATTAGATATAACACGGTATAGTCCATCTGAATTAATTCCTAACGCTGACCAAAGTTGAACTGTATGCTACAACAATGCACATTGTACTTCGCTATAACTGCTAGACATTTTTTATGAAAGTTGAGTGATTTGTGAATACTTCAGGCGTTAAACTGAAGTTGCTTAGCGTTGTTTGTTGACAGTAAGATTTCTGTTTGTGGAATAAGTAGATCAGTTGATGGCACTGCCACTCAAAACCTAAGCCTATCTTGCCACCATCTATCTCAACTCATTGCTAACAGGAGTTGAATCGAAATGCTCTCAGCAACCTTGTACATATCCGCACAGTAGGCAATGAGTCACACCTATCGTGTGAAGTCCAGAGATACTACTTGGCTGCCCAAACTTCATTAGGTGGAGTGGTATTCGAACTTGTGACTCACAAGTTGAAAGTCAATGACCTAAACCAACAAGCCGCGGCTCAACCCTAATGGAAGTAGGATGAATAAACTTGGATATTACATGTCCATGAATTCTGCTACTTTTTACACTTTTTACTGTAAAGATCTAACTCATTGGCCTAGTCACCCGACCTTTGGAGTGTCAATCATAAGTTCAAATCCCAGTTCCTGTATGTGTTCTCTTCAGAAGCCAAGTAGAATTCCCAACCACCACATAACCAGCTTCACTTATAGCCTAACATACGAAACTTTAAATGGCTGTTGATTTACAGTGCATTCTGAGTCGTGTAGTGTTGCCCTCATATTAACGGATCGTAATCGTCGAAGAGCTAGGACGACGTGAATCATAAGTGTCCTGTGTCCTCCTACCCTCTTTCTGAATCATTATTGATTTTCTCTTGTCGATCTGAAATGAAGTGAACATTATCAGCATATGGCACTTAAGCTTATTAAAATAACATTTAACAAGATAAAGAATTGTTTGTGGGGATTTATTAATTTAAATTAGTATTCATCACGGGCTAACAAGAGTTGAAGAAGCATCGAAAACCTGGGGCGTCAGACAGCTTATTCATTCTGACATGGGACTCCACTGCAAAACCTGAAGGTCCTTGGTCCTACCCCTGGTGGAGTCATGGGTACGCTCTGTTAAAGAGTCTCATACTAGTACGAAGCAACTGTTCAGGTTTTCAGTGGTTCTCAAATTGGTGTCAGTCCGTGATGAATACCAGCTTATAGAAGGAAGCTATCAGCACCACTGTGACCAGTTTTGGAGAAGACCACCTAGAATCTCCAGCTATCTACTTTGATTATTTTCTGGACACATCGCCCGGTGCTTGTTAGATCACTGCCATGTATTGGTCTGAATGAGGTGACTTGTACCAATAAACAGTTACACCGATCCCCATAACCGTATCTCTATGTCTAGAAGGATCTTGCAGCCTGTTTTATCCGGGATGTTGAACAACATGATTCATTAGTGTTATCTAGATGACAGACGATAACTTTCAGTTTTTGGAGCACTCAGTAACTGGTAATTGTTTCCAAGTCAGGAATCACGACAAGGATGTCACCAGGTTTCAACCATTCCGTTCTTTCTGTAAGTTGTTTATCGCATAGTTACCCATCCATGATGGTTCTGCTCACACAAGTTCTTATGCTTACCTCAAAAGAACGTTTTGTAACTGATATTGACAATGTTTTAAGGACCATTTACGACGTTGTAATTCATTGATTTAAATGCCCAAATTTCGTATTCTTATGGGAGTACTGTGGTTTGATGAGCAGGATGCTATTCGTAGTCCTAATAGAATGAGTTAATGATATCGTGTGATGTTTCATCTCTTTTTACTAACGTTCCTTTAATGAGGACGGTAAACTTTATTTGCAATGAACTTACTAAGCACGGCATGGGAATAGGTATTCCAGTCTCCACATTGAAAGAATTAATCTGAAGTGTACGGTGAACACACAATTCCTTTTCAACAAAGAAATCTACAGGCAGTCCGATGGTATAGCTATGGGGTCACCCATTGGCCCTGCTCTTACATTTTTTCCAGCAAAACCAGAGAATAGTCCACTGAACGAAACTATTAGTCGGTTAGAATTGTATTGTATTGAACCTGGCAAGGTTCCCCAGATTACCAAAGAGATGAGAAGGTATGGAATAGAAGTGCTAGGCTAGGAATCTGCAAGAGATAAGCAGATGGAATGGAAGTGGACTCTCCAAACTGTCAACTGGAGAGGAGAGTCAATAGTCTACTCCGATATTGTCACCCAGACGACAACCACGAGCACAGCACACTGAGTTTTCGAGTGGCTATCATGGTGTCTCCAAGAGCATCGAAAGCTGTCAGTCAATGGGAACCAGTCTCCTCCTGCAGGGACAGCATCATGACAGCAAGACTCAAATCAAAAGGAAAGAAAGTTACAAGCATGCAATGCTACGCTACACACCTACAAAAAATGCAGACCAAGAGAAGAAGGAGGAATTCTACAGACAACTAACTGCAATCAGTACTGGATAGGGCCCAACCCCAGATGGCGACATCAAAACTCATTCTAATGGGTGGGGTGACATGAATACCGAAGTGGGAGCAGACAACACAGGAAGAGAACCAATTGTGGGTTGAGGGGCACTCGGTGAGATGGATGAGAATGGAGAACTGTTTGCAGACTTCTGAGCACTTAATGATTTAGTGGTTGAAGACAGTGTGAACAAACACAAGGATGTTCACAAGGCAGCGACATGTATTTCACCAGACACCAGGACAAACTACACTGGAAATCAGATCGACCTCATCTCAATCTCAAGAAGAGGAGCAGATGTAAGTTCACACCACTCACTATATGATGCAAGGAATCCACC